GTCCTCAATGGCCCAATCAGCCGCAGGACCGGAAAGTGGCCCCGTCAGGCTTTGCGACCGGGAGGGACCGGCCGGCGCGCGCGCGAGCCTCGGCCTCTGCGGGGGCGGCCGGCGGGGCCGGCGGGGGCGCCGCGGGCTGCGCCCGGGCCGCCTGCCCCGCGCCTGGGGTGGGGGGGAGGACTCCCGCGGGCGTGGCCGGCCAGGCCAACCCAGACGCGCCCGCAGGCCAGGCCGTCCTCCAGCCGGGACCGACTCCGCAGACCCGCGCGGCCCCGCGGCTCGCCCCCGGGCGCTGCGGTTTGATGTCATCAGGAAACACCGGCGACTCGGCCGTTCCAGCGCATAACGCGGTTCCCCTTAACGATGCCTCTTACAGCGAACGACCTTGATAAGCAGCGGCGCGCGGTGCGAGGGGGCCGCTGCGGCTCACTGGTGTCCGCTTGGCGAAGCTGGTGTCCAGACGTCGGCCTCACACCAGCCCAGACGCTGCTGGGCGCGCGTTTTTAGATGGGTGGGTTTTGAGTAGGTCACCCCTGCGTGCCGGGGCCTCCCCTAAGCACCGAGGCCCTGAGAGGAAGGCGGACCCGGCTGGACATGCTTGCTCCGGTGGCCCCTTGGGCCACGACTGGGTCTCCAGCTCTGGCTTTGCCCGGAGATCCGGCCCTAGCCCCGCAGCCGTGCGAGCCAGGTCCTCGAAGCTCCCCTTTGCAGCTGCTCCACGTTGGCACGGTTTCTCTGGAGGCCCTTGACCAGGCAGCGCCCACGGGGCCCCTGAGGTGGGTACCCTAGTGCTGCAGCCACGTTTCCTGGGGTGTGGCCCCGGAGTGGAAGTGCTCCCTTCAGCAGCTCCTGCAGCCATCTCCAGCCCCAGGCAGGCCAGGTTTCTCGCCTGTTGCGCAGCAGCTAGAAGGAGCTGGGAGGGGGCTAGGGCTAGGGTCACATGCCCGGCCGTGCGGAAGACACAGGCAGAAGCGTCTGCCCAGCAGAGGAGCCTACGGCTGAGGGTGGGCCCGACGAGGTGGCCTTGGCTGGTGGACAGTGCACACCAGCCCTGAAACATCCTGCCAAGCTCCAGGTCCTAGAAGTGGGCAGGCAGGGCACTTGGGGTTGGCCCACAGGCTGAGGCAACCGCCCACGGCTCTGTGGCCTCCAGGTGTGCCCCCAAGCCCTGTGGGGCGTGGCCAGTCCCCAGGAGCCAGAACTGGCCGAGGCTGCCATTTCAGGGAGGCTGGCATTTCAGGGGGAGCCACCCTTGCTGCCAGGAGTCTGTGTGTCTGCCCATCCCCTTGCTGGGTCCATCACACGTGCACGCTAAGCCTCTCCACAGACGACCATGCAAGAGTCTGTTCTTCCTCAGTGTCACATCGGCCCTCACCGGGTCTGTGCCCTGGGGGCTCGGCTCCAGGGGCGCCAGGCTGGCCTCCCCCAGGGCACTCACATCCTGTGGCAATAGGCAGTGTCCCCACTGGCCCCTGGGCCCAATGGTTTCATCCTCACAGCTCCCAATCCCCGCTGGCCTTCTCTGCCCTCTGGCCCTGTCCACCAGGCCCTGGCTCCCCTGGGCCCCTGGCTTTTTCTGGAACCCATGCGCCTCAGCAGGGGGCGCGCAGCAGCAGGGTCACCTCTCACCCCCTCCACCACAGGTCAGTGTGGCAACTGCGCCTCAGAGCCCTTTTATGCGACTGTGTACTTCCTGGATCATGGAATGGACCAATCGGATGCAAGCTATGAGCTGATTGGTGTACAATGGTCCAATCAGCCACAGGATTGGGAAAAAAAATGGTCCACTCAGACTTGTGGGTGGGGCACCCTGAAAGAGGGTATATCCAGGGTCAGGGGCCCGGAGGGGGAGACAGGCCATTCCCTGGAGAGGTGACCAGAAGCGATGGCGGCCCTCGAAGAGGAGAGATGATTCCAGCCTCCAAAGAGAGAGGGGAGGACTCCATTCCCGGCCTCGGAAGAAGAGCAGCGTCCGGCAGCCGCCCTCCGAGGAGGGGGAGAAGCCGAGGCTTTGCGGGGACGGGCCTCGTCCTGCCTCCACTGCCTGAGAGGAGCCCAGAGGCCTGGCCTGGCCTCTCGAGGAGCTGCTTGTTGCTGGCGTCGCCCAACAACTCACACAGCTGTGAACGCTGGGAGTGTCTGACACCGCCTCTGAGGGACCAGTGGTGGCCATCACACTGGCCAGTGCTGGCCAGCACTCCTGGTGCCTGGGAGCGGCCATCACTGACGCTTTCTGGGTGTGATAAGCAGTCACTTGTGGCCACAGTGAGTTCTCTGTTTCCCGTTTTTTAAAATAAACCCTGCATTGGTTGCTCGTGGAACCTGAGGTCTCTTGCAGTTGTGCACATGGGCAAGCCCCACAGACTGCCCTGTCCTCTTATCAGGCCATCCTTTGTGGCCCACAGGGCCCCTGGTGTGCAAAGCTATAGCCCTTGGTTTGGGGTTTTGGCCTTTTGGGGCTTTTTGGTGGCTCTTGCCTCAGCCTGGGCAACTGGGTGGCCATTCCATCCTTCCAGCCGGTCTCCTGCCCTGTTGTCTCTGTCCACCTGTTTCAGTTTCTCACAGCTCCCGATTCCTACTGGTTTTCTGTGCCTTCTAGGCCCTGTCCTCACCAGACCCCTGGCCACATTGGCCCCCTCTATTTACTAGCCCCACTGACCCTACCCTCACTGGCCCCCGGCCCCACTGCGGTCTCAATGGGGGGCTTCCCCCAAAAGTCCTTGGTCACAGGAGCACCATTGCTAAAGAACCGCTGGGTGTGCTGCCACCTGCTACCTGCAGTCACCCCCATGACCATGTGTCCTACACCCCAGCTGACTAGGGCGGGGCTTGGGAATGTGGCCCAGAATTCTAAGAATCTTCTACAAATTCCAGTTTCCCTTTGTTCGCATTCAGATGGGCACACTGGGACAATCTTCAGGACAGGGTCCCAGGAGTCAATGTGTGTGGACATTTAGGGCTGTATGTGATCTGAAGTCCTGCTGCCACCGCGCCTGAAATCAGTGCAGTGCCACTGCAAGTGAGCTTCCTAGAACAAGGAACCCATTGCCTCACATAACTGGGAAGCGCTGGGATACATAAGAGACGGCAGCCGCCAGGCATGGCTGGGGCTGGGCCCAGGAGGGCTGCAAAGCTCACTAGAGAGTGCAGGCTTTCCGCCCTGTCACATCTTTCTCTCTCCATCTCTGTTCTGCCTGCTCCATGAAGGTCTGAACTCCCTTCTACTGCAGATGATGTCCCCCTTGTGACCAGAGAGATGGCGCAGGCAGCTCCCACGCCACAGCCACATGCAACAGCCCTACCCCAAAGAGAAGACTGATGTGCACGGGGGAAGGGGTGGGACTGGGACTTCTGAGCCACAGCTCATGGAAGGGCAGCTGCACAAAGGAGATGTGGGCACCACGTGTGGTGTCACAGATGACAGGCCCGCCCCCCGTCCGCCGCCAGGGGAGTGATGGAGAGCTGGGCCAGCAGAGGACTCACTAGCTTGGGGTCAGACAGACACATGGCTCCCACTCACAGTCATAGTGGATTTTTATTAGGAAATCACCCTGCAGACACGCGAGAAGTGCTGTGCTGGGGGGTCAACGCGTTTCCTGAGGAAGGAGGGTCACAGTATCAGAGCTGTCGAGGGCCGGGGCCAGGCCGGAGGCTGCTTGTGCTGACCGTGCCAGCACGCCCTCGCAGCGGCCAGCATACCCTCGCGGCGCCCGACGCAGCGTCAGGACCGGCACACAGACGCGACACGAGAAACACGCCAGAGCACACACATCTGCCTACACGCGACAAACACAGAACTCCACCTGCTGTCTGGGCCTGCACAGGGCCACGGTGGGGGGGAGGGGTTCCTATCCGCTGGACCCAGGAAAATACCCCAAATTATCAAAATTCTTCAGTTACAAAATACCTTTTTAAAAATTCCATTATTAAAAGAATAAATAACAAAATATATTAAAACAAGTTGGCTGCATTGGAATCACAACCAGGAGTCCCAGCGACACTGTGCGGCCCACTCACGCGGGCAGCTCCACCCTTGCCCTCCCCTGCCTCTCTGGGTCCTGGGGAGGGGGCTAGTTGACGTGGTAGGAACTTAATAAATAAAAATGTTAAATAAATAGCAGACATTAACATAAGAGGTTGTGAATATAAATACTTACATCTTGACAAAATTAAATAATTTACAGAATAATTAAACTAACTACTTTTTAAATTTCTTCCAGGAAGTGCAATTTCTCTACTTTTAAATACTACCTTGGAATTGCAGTCACGATTGATTTGGACTCTATTTACATGTTAGGAACATTGTGTTTTTAACACATTGAATTAAAATTTGCCTTTTTTCACATCCTGAATGGACTAAAAGAAGGGAAATCTTGGTGGCCCCCACCCCACTGAGGCTGCCCCCACCAGGTCAGCTGTGCTGTGACTAGGGAAAGCAGAGTGACAGGGCACAGGCCTGGGTGGACAAGCGGAAGGCAGCAGCCAGCCCTGACCCCTGGGTCTCCCACCACAGCCCCGGGGGCCCCAGCTGCTGTGTGTGAGCAGCCCTCGGAGCGGGCCAGCCTCCCGGACGCGCCAACTCAAGGCAGGCCTCCTCCTCACCCACCTCCGCGGGCCGGGCCATTCCATAGAACACAAACCTGAACTAAATGAAAACAGGAAACACACTTGCCACCGGAGCCTCACAGGCCCTGACAGCAGGAACACTGTCGCAAACGCCAAAGCTTCCCTGAGAACCTTGTCCATGAGCTTCCACTGGAGCCTTCGAGCTGCTCTTCAGATTTCTTTCAGAAAACAAAAATAAATCACTTTGTGATACCTCACGCCTCCCGGCTGTGTGGGCGAGGCCGGCCTGGCCCTGCTGGAGGCTCGGCGGGGCGCCCTCTGGACAGGCCACCGGGGCCACCGGGCGCAGCCATCGCCACTGTGAGGGGGGTCTCCACGGGAGGGCGGGCAGGGAGGTAAACAATGTGAGCTGCTGGCTCACAGCCAGCAGCCATGAGCGTGGCAGGCCTAGACCTGGATGCCCCTCACGGCCTGCTTGATGGTCTCCAGGAGGTCCTTGTTCTCCGGGTTCTGATAGCACTCCTGGTTGGAGTACATGTCGGTGAGGGCGCTCACGTAGGCGTCGAAGTTCCGCTCACAGATGGGCTCCTGCAGGATGGGGCCACTTTACAAGGGGCATCGGAGCTGTTGCCCCCAGCCCAACGTGCCCAGGCGCAGGGGCCTGGCACCCCACCCTTGGTGGGGGCAGCCTTGAGGACTTTGCTGTGATTCTAGCCACTCCATGGCCCTCGCCCAACCTGCAGAGTACCCGGGAGGCCTGGGGAGCCCAAGAAGAGCCGGGGGCCAAGGCAGAGGCACCCCCCCACGCCCCTCTGCCCGGGGTACCAGCTCCCTGGGGTGCCCAGGGGCTCACGCTGCCTACCAGGTGTGGAAGGCGGATGTTGGCAAGACTTTGGATGAGGGCCTGGCTCAGGCCTGACAGCTCGAGGAACAGGGCTTCATTCTGCTCCTCGATGAGCTTGTTCTCCTCCTCAATGTTCTTCAGGCTCTTCTCCATGGACGAGATCTGCACCAGAGAAGGATGCTGGGGCCACAGCACGGGCCTCCTGCCTGCCCAGAGCTCATGGGCCAACCTCATGCCTGGGGGTCTGCCACAAACAGGGGCTAGCTGGTGCCCTGCTGCCAGGGCGAGGTGCCACATGGGGCATCCAGGGGCGCACCGACTCCTAACCACCCTAGCCACATCACCCGTTCCCCAGCACCCTCGAGGGGTGTCTGGCTACCTGTGGGTCATCCTGCAGAAAGACCAGCACAGCCCTTGTCCGGCAGCGCAGAACCACTGAACCCCTGACTCTCCAAAACCCTGACTCTCCGGGCTCCAGGCCTCCTGCACAGACTGTTCCTTCTCCCGAAGCTTTAGAGGACGTCCCAGCAGGAGCCTCTCCCGAGGGCCCTCAGGACTCCCAGGGAGAGGGATGCAGGCAGGGCAGGCTCCCGCTCTGGGCTCACCTGAGCCCACGCCAGTACCGCACACAAGCAGGGCTCAGGGTTGCCCACTTCTGCCACCCAGACCCCTCCCCCTTTTCATGTCCCCATGGGGTTTTCTTTTCTTGCAGAGACAGCTCCAGAGGGCTTGCGGGGAGGGGCAGGAAAGATAAATGCCTCAAGGGGAAAGGCCCCAGCGTCCCAGAGGGGACTAAGGAATAGTCCCTAAAGGAGGGGGTGGGGGAGGAAAGAGGCTGACCCAGAGCTGGCACTACCGGTGGGGCCGGGGCGGGGCAGAGGGGCAGAGGGCGAGGCCCAGGCCACGGGGGCGCCTCTGCTCTGGGGAGGTGGCCGCAGGGGAGGAAGGTGCCCAACCACCTCCCTGGCCCTTCTGCCCCGGGATCTGCGAGCACCGTGCCTGTCCTCGGGGCCGCCAGGCCACTCCTGTGCCCCCAGCCTGCTCTGGCCGCGACTGGCAGCCGCGGGTAGACACAAGCTTCTTTTCACAATTAGCCCTTCGCTGCTTTTTTCTCATCGCACCGCTCCTTGGGGGACAGCAGTGAGACAGTTCTCACGGCACCCAGCGGCTCAGACCCTCGCGGGCCTCCCGCGCCTCCCAGGGCAGCACTCCCTGGGGTGTGCTCCGGTGCCAGAGCCCCGCAGGGTCCTACAGCACAGCGCCCCTGCGGGACCGGCCACAGGGCCCGGGTGGGGCAGCCGGGCGCGGCTCACCTGGGACTGCAGCTGCACCATGGCAGCCTCCATCTCCGAGTTGGACTCGTTCAGGTCGCGAATCTCCTGGTTCAGCTGCTTGATCTCCTCGTCGCTCTCCAGCACTGCCGGGGACAGCGGATGGGGCGGGGCGCTCCCAGGCGGGACTGGGCCCCTCGCAGAGCAGACCGTGGCCGGCTGCTCTCCGCCCCCCCCCCCGCCCCCACGAACCTGGCTAAGACGAAAGTGGAAGGTTTCCCACCCAGGTCGCGCTACCTTTCCTCAGCCTCCTCCTCACTGAGGCGCAGCACCGCAAAGCACATGCCCAGGACCACACCCAGGACCACGTGCCACCCAGATACCACGCCGCGCGGTTGGGGGGGGCCGGGGCGCGGGCAGGCAGCAGGCGTCCCTGGGGGTGGGAGCTGGACACCGGGTCCAGGCCAGAAGCCTCGGTGCTCAGGTCAAGGGTCTGCCCGCACCGTGCCCCAGTGGGCGCCCCCAGCCCCCTTCCTGCTGGGCGGCACCTCTCTGGGGCCAAGGAAGGGGTGCAGGAGGCCATCCTCACCATCGCTTGTCTTAAACTTGGTGCTGAGAACTTCATCCCCTGCGAGTTTTCCCTTCTTTCCAGCAAAGGTGGCTCTGGGACAGCCAGACAAACTAGAAACAAGGATCACATCTCAAGGTCAGCCGGAGGTCACACACCACTGTGAAGGTCCGGGGAACCATCCTCAATCACTTGCCCCCGCCCACTCCAGCCCCAGCAGGCCCAGCCACCCCTAAATCCCTCCCCCCCAGGGCCCCATAGCTGTTTCCTCCTTTATTTGGGGGGTATTTTAGGCCTTCTCTCTCCTCCTGCCCTGCCCTAGGGCCCGGTGGTCACTTTTGCTCCCTACTCTCTGCAGAGCCAGTCCTTGGTGGGCCATTTGGGACATGCTTCTGGAGAGAGAGCTCGTTGACCTTGTAGAAGGGGGACAAGGGCAGAGAAAGAAGGAGCTTCCTGATGGGGCCGGGGTGCCCTGGCCACTCGGCCTCATGACACAGCGCGCAAGGGGGCTGCTGGGGCAAGACCCCCTCTGTCCAGGAGCAGGTGTCGGCAGATGGAGCTGCTGGCCTTGCCTAGCTGGGGTGGAGGGGCTGTCCATGGCCCCCGCAGAGGAGCCACAGGCCCAAGCTCAGAGAGGGCCTCCCTCAGAAGTGAGACGCAGCTGTCCAGGGCACAGCTGGGGCAGTCCCGGCCTCCAGAGGGCTGGCGTGGAGGACCCAGCAGTGGGTCGCACAGGACACCAGGCGATGCCTGCCAGCAGACACCTGCGCCCTCCACGGCCCAGCGAAGGGCTGCCACCAGGCCAGGCTGCGGCCTCAGGACCACAATAGCCCTCCTGGGGAGCCCTGCCGTGGGCAAGAGGCAGGTGTTGGCAGCTACCTGCGGTGGGTGAGGAAGCTCCCGTTGGCATGGCCAGAGCCGTCACAGCCTGGGGTGGGGCAGGTGGGCCCCTCGTTCTTCAGCGACTTCCAGGAGAAGGACGAGCCATTGAGGGAGCCCTCTTTCTGCCTCCGGGCAGCCAGCGGGCAGCCAGATGCACTTCTGTGCGAGGCATACTTGCCACTGATGTGGCCGAGCCCCACGCAGCCCGGGACTGGGCACCTGAGCATAGAGAGGTCCGGGTGAGCATGGCCTGGGGGCAGACATGGCCAGTGGCCCTGCCAGACACCATGGGGCGGGAGGGGCCCGGCACTGGGCAAGCCCTGGACCTGAGAGGAGAGCGCAGTCTCCTGGTGGAAAGATATGCGGGGCAAGTCCCTCTCCTGGCCTCACAGGCCTGCTCTCCCACCTCAGCAGCCCGCCCGAGCCTGGACCTCTCTCGGGCCCCTGCGCCCACTCCCAGTCCTCGCTGCCAGAATCAAGGCGTCGGCTAGAATCAAGGATGGCTGGGAGGCCGGAGTCTTGGCACAGGCAGCCCCAGCGCACCTGGGTCTCGCAGGCTGTGGCCAGATGTGACCAGCGCCATAGTGGCCGGCTCTGCGGCCCCAGAGCTAAGGTGGGAAGCCTGAGCACCGACACCCCAGAAGATCCTGCGCGGCCCCTGGGGCTGCCCGTCCCCATCCAGGTTGTCCACTCGGCAGAGACCGGCTGACAGAGGCAATAGGCGCGGAGGAGCAGAGAGGTGACAGGGGCCCCAGGGGACCCCATCGCACCATCTCGGGACACAGCAGAGGCCTCTGGAGTCCTCCTCGCGGCCCGGGAGTGGCCTGGACTGAGCTCCCACAGCACCTTCCAAGCGCAACTTGGAGTCCGGAGGGTCAACACCCAGCCTGGGGCCACGTCCCACCTGGGAGCTCCGCCTGCTCCTCCACAGGAGCCCCACGACTCACTGGGGTGCCCCATCCTCTGCTGGCCACGAGCGGCCGAACTCCCACTGTCCACAGCCCCCACACTCTGGCCTGGTCTTGGAGGCAGCCGTCACAGCCAGGCCCACGCCAGGCCCCTCTCAGGAGCCCGGACCCTCCTCACGCCTTCTTCGACGCGGGACACACTCTTGTGCAGGTCACCAAACCCCACAAGGTCACCTCAGCCACCAGGCTGGAGCAGACATTGCTGGGGCCCCCAGAAGGCTCAGGAAGCTGCATTCTGTGCCTTCCCCAGACCTAACACCCCGACCTGCGGGGTTCCAGAGGCCGCTCCCCTCCACAGGGACAGGCAGGGCAGATCTGCTCGCGAGGGCCTGGCAGGCCATGCCCCCAGCCCCCAGCCAAGGTCCCAGGCCATCCCTGCCACCCACATCTGCCTGGGCCCCACTGCCAGCTTCACCAGGCAGTGCTGAGAGTCCCGGGCAGGTCGGGTGCGGGTCACCCTGCTTGCACCTGTGACCTGCAGGTGGGGGGGCTCGGGCAAGTTCCCTTCCGGGAGGACGGCTGCCGCTGTACGAGCATGCACAGGCTGGACCACACCCTAGGACCATGCCTGGCACCCCCCTCCAAAGGTCAAAGGACAACTTCGGGCTGCCCCCCAGGCCCTCTCCCCCACAGCAGTGCGAGGCCCTGGCTCAGGCTGGCTGTTCCGGGCCCTCATTCCACAGCGGCTCCCGAGGGGCTGGGAGCGCAGGCGCCTGGACTGAAGACCCCCAGTCCGCCCAGACACTGCACCGGCCCTTGCTGCCGCGCCAAGGGCGCCGGTCTCGCCACCCACACGGGCGGCTGCCCCCTGGGGGCCGTGCCGGGGGCAGCAGCTGGCCCCGCTCTCCCCCTCCCACCAGATGCCCCAGGCCAAGAGCCCACAGCCCGGCGTGCGCCCGACAGGCCGCGGTGTGCAGTGCTGGGGGGTCCTCGGCACAAATGCACTCAGGAGCAGGGAGAAGCCCTCGACGACAGGGCAGCACAAGACCCCCATGGGCAAGCCCGACTCACTTCATCAGCTCGGGGTCGTCCTTGTCGTCCTTCGCAGGGGCCGCCTTGGCGCCGCTCTTCTTGGCACGCGGACAGCCCGACAAGCTGGTTCAGAGAGAGGAGCCGGGGTGCCCTGTCCTGAACCGCAGCGCCCGTCGCCCACCGCGCCCGCCCCTAGGGCAGAGGTCCGCGCGCGAGGGCCAACACGGGCCTCCTGCACCCCCACAGTTGCCAGGCAGGAAGCTGCCAGAGCCCTGCCCAGAAGCGGCCTGACCGCCTCTGGGCCAGTGACAGTTCAGCACGGGGGTGGGCCAGGGATGGGCTGGGGATGGGGGGGGCGGGGGGGCGGGGCCGGGCTCCGGGCTCACCTCCTGTGTGACGCGTAGTTCCCGGTTATGTGGCCAGAACCGTCGCAGCCAGGCGTGGGGCACCTGTGGGAATAGGGGAGCTTGGGCCGGGGGCTGGGAGGCACCTTCCCAGGGCTCAGGGCTCCCGGCGGCCTGCACAGGACCTGGGCCTGGGGGCTCTGCACCCAGTGTCCTAGGGGTGCCCAGTGGGTAGAGAACATCTCCAGTGAGGGGACAGGCTCTGGCCTCAGTCCCCGCAGGTCCCAGGGTGGACTGGAAGGTTCCAAACCTCGCATGGGCCATGACGCTCAATGAGCCAGGGAGGCCCAATGGGCGCTGGGACGCCTGGTCTGCGGCACTGCTGGATGCAGAGGGTGCAACCATGCAGGGCGGCTGCTGTGCCGCGGTGCCGGCCCGGGGCGTGCGCATCGGCGAGATCACCAGAGGGTGCCACTTCAGGGCGGGCTGGGGTAGCCTGCGCCTATGGGCCAGGGAGGGGACACCCTGCCCAGAGGCCCAGCTTTGTGCCCTAAAATGCTTGCCCAGCTCAGGTGCTAAGATGGCCCTTTACTGTGTCAGCGTGGCTTTTCTTAAGTTGTACCTCCCCAAACGTCCACTAAGGCCATTCCTGCTGGGGGGCAGTGGGCCCAACTGCAGGGGTCCCGTGGCCTTGCTGGGCCCGGGCAGTCCCTTCAGAGGGACCCGGTGCCTCACCCACACCCTGACCCGGCGACAGCTGGCGAGGCCCCACGCCCACACGGCGCCCCCTCATCAGCACTGTGGAGACAGAGGCCGCACCTCAGGTCCTGAGGGGCCCTGCACCATGCAGCCCACACCCGCTGGTGGGAAGCCAGGGCTCTGCCTCCGGGCCAGCAGAGGGCCCTCTGCGTCCTCTGTCTCGCAGGATGGAGAAGTAGGTACATGAAAGGGCTCCCCTCAGGCCACCCCTGGAACCCGCAGCATGCACTGCCCACAGCAGAGGGGCCTGGAGGTCAGCACTGGGCCTGGGGAGGCAGGAGCCCCCTCTGCCCATGCGGCAGCTTGGGCTTCCCGGCGTTATTGGGGTCCCTGCCCCGCAGCCTCCCTGGCCTGTCAGCAGCAAGCCCGTCCAATTGCCCCCTGCTGCGCTTGGGGTGACCCAAGCCCGTCAAGGCCACGGAGGCACCTCCTGGCCACGTGTGATCACCACACATCTGGGGCAGGAGCTCTGCGTCCAGTAGCGGCCACCCCACCCTTGTTGTGCGGGCCCCACCCTCCCAGACAGCTGCTGCCTGAGCTGCTGCTACATGTGTGTTGCCCGCACCCCAGGGCACTAGCTGCTCAGTGCTGCTCGGGCCCACACAGTGGGCACCAGGCCCTCCAGACCAGCCAGGGCATCCAGGGCCAGCTCTCAGCACTGAGACCTCTGCGGCCCAGGCACCTCCTCAGCCCTCAGGCACCCCCATAGCCAGCCTGTGCTGGAGCCGGCGCTACCCTCCAGACAGAGACAGGGCACGTGTCCTTCCTGGTCTGCAGCTGCACAGGGGCCCAGGGTAGTGCCACAGTGTCAGGGCACACATGGAGGCAGAGGCTCAGCTGCCAGGGCTGGCCAGGGCAGCACAGGCCTTGATGGCCGTGCCACAAGTCTGAGGGAAATGCATGCACGTGGGGGCCCTGCCAGTGTCCAGTACTGACACTGGCCTCCTCCAGCTCCCACTGGGGCCTGGCTGCTCACGGCAGGCGGGACCACCACATTCTCTGCTGAAGCCCTGTTCAGTGACGTGTCGAGAGACCTGGCCAAGAGAGAGGGGTGCCCTGGGCTGGGCAAGCAGGAGTCCCAGTGGGCAGCCCAGTGGCCCAGGGACCACGAAGTCAGAACAGGCCCCTTGCCACCAGCCCTGAGCTGTCTGGACAGGAGAGTGTCCTGGTGGGGGTACACTCCAGCTGGGGGTGCACAGGCTCACTGTGGAGACCGTCTCTATACACGCAGGGGTCACTCCCAGCCAGGGACCCCTCGGACCCTTGCCAAGTGCATGGCAGCACCGACTCCGGCACGCAGATGGGCTGAGGGGCCCACGTCAGCGGCCCCGCACTGCCCACCCCGGAACACAGACGCAGACACACGCGCCCACAGCTGTCCCGCACATGCTGGCCCGCGGGGTGCCAGTGGAGCTGCTCACGGACAGGGGCATCCGTCCCAGATGGGCGCCCTGTGCCCACTGTGCCTGTGCCCACCACACTGGACGGGACAGGGAGAGAGGGCAGTGCTGGCCCCAGAAGTACGCAGGGCTCGCCCCGCCCACCCAAAACCCACGCTGCAGGGTTGGGGGCGGGGCACTGGGCCCAGGGAGCCCCCGCTGGCCATACATGCAGACTCGCACCATCCAGACCCATCAGGTCGACGCATTCCACAGCCCATGGCCCAGAAGGCATCCCCACCCACTGGCCGCAGGCCTGACGCTGACCGGCTGACTCTGGGAGCCCTGAAGCTGCTCAGGCGAGGTACGAAAGTGGAAGTGGGAAGACAGAGAGAGGAGAGGAAGGGAGGCTGGGCCTGCGGGACTGGGCTGTTCAGTGGACTCGGGCCTGGACACAGCAAGCAGCATAAGGTGTGAATTTCTGTGATGGGCAGAGCCTCAGAATAGGCTCCCAGAAAGGCCATGAAGCCACCCAGCTTCACCCCGAAGGGTGGAAGGCCCAGACTGCGGGGCCAGACAGTCTCCCCAGGACAGGCCGCCTGACTCAGGGGGCAGAGCTTCCCGCCTTATCTCTAAAACAGCTCAGAGTCCCAGGAGCCTTTGGCCACTCCTTTCCAAAGGACCAGTTTCCCAGGTCCTGTTGGCTCCAGAACAGGATAAGCCAGGGACCGTGGCCTGGATTCAGGGTACCCCAAAACAGAGGCCTGAGGGGACAGAGCCGCCTGGAAAGGGGTGGACTGAAGGGAGATCCCCTTCCTCAGCCCCCACTCAGCCCGGAGACCCAGCTGTGACGTCAGAGCTGCCTGGAGGCTTGAGAGCCAAAGGCAGTGCAGGCCCCACCTGCATCCCCAGGGACGTGGCCTGGGAAACCTCTGGATGCTACCTGCTGGGGGACAGAGTGCCCAGCAGGCGGCGATGCCCACGCAGCAGGGGCAGGGAGAGGCAGCAGCAGAAGAGGAGGGGGCCAGCACAGAGTGGTGCAGAGCGGCGACAGGGGGGCGCAGCGGGGTGCAGGAGGAGAGGAAGGGCTTGGGCGCACTAGTGCATGCCACGCAGCCCGGGGCCGAGAGAGCCACAGCCAAGAGCAGCCCTGGCTCTCCAGAGTCTCCGGCCAAGGAGGGAGCAGGCTGGTGGCCCTCAGGGCCTCAGGCAAGAGAGCATGGGCAGTGCCAGGAGCTGGCAAGGAGGCAGGACAAGGGCAGCACGAGCAGGCGGCAGCAGTGGGGGCAGGGACATAGCAACACCAGCAGCCCCCCAAAGAGAGCCAGCCCTCCGGGCCCGGCCCTGCCGCCCTGTCCCCTAGGCAGGCCAGGGCTGGCCTTGGGCCGAGACCCGGAGAAGGCCGGGTTTGGCTGGAGCATCCTGGAAGGAGAGAGCAGAGCAGGGGTGCCTGCGGGCAGGAGGCCGGGAGGGCAGACATACTTGAGGTCAGCAGAATGGGCAGCCATGAGGTTTCTGAGGCTCTTGTCAGCAAGAGGGCAACCAGAGAGGCTGAAAGAGAAGAGATGGGTGCCGGGGTGAACCGAAGAGGGAGCGAGAGGGGGCAAGTGGACCAGACAGCGCCTGGCAGCGGTGGAGACGAACCTGCGGTGGGAGGCATAGTTCCCGGTGATGTGGCCGCTGCCGTCACAGCCGGGGGTGGGACAGCTGGACAAAGGAGAGAGCGGTCAGAACGGGGAACAGGCACCCCTGCCAGCCTCTCCGGACAGCTGGGCCTGCCCCGCCCCTCGGGCCTGGGCCACGCTTGCTCATGCTCATGCCTGCTCACTCAGGGAAGGGACAGAGGAAGGCTCCGCGGAAGGGCCGGGAGCCTGGTGTGGCTGCAGTTGTGCCCAGTGGCTGGGGAGCCGCTCCCTAAAGCAGCCCCTGAGGGCAGGGCCTGGACCACAGCTGGAGCGACTCAGCTTGGGGAGCGGCAGCTAGAGGGCAGAGGAGGGCCCGTGAAGGGCTCTGAGCACAGCGGGGGGGCTGCCCCCAGGGCCACTCTCCCCTCCAGGAAGGCGGGTCTCTATGGGTCTGCCAGAGGCTACAGCCCTGCCTGCGGGACACGTGGCTCACAGTGACCACTCGCTGCCCAGCGCCCCAAGGGGGCAGGCTCGACTCCGTAGGAGGGTGGGCGACCAGAGCCGGTGCCCAGCCCCACACCCTGCCCACTCCAGGTAGGAACACGGCGGGGCCTCGGAGGCTGCTGACCTCTGGCCACAAAGCGGCCTGCCAGGACAGGGGCGAGGCCAGGGCAGAGCAGGTCCAGGCTGACCAGCCAGGCGCTGCCAGAAGCCCTCAGCCCGGGGCACTTACGTGAGCAGCTCCTTCTTCATATCCTTGGAGAGAAACCTCAGCTTAAAGTTGGTGAGGGTGACGTCCCCAGGGTACTTCCGCTCCTCAAAACTCTCTTCCGACACTTCCTGGTCATCTGCTTCAGAAGAAGCAAAAGAATGGGCTGCTGGCTCTGACTGCAAAAAACCAGCGGGGACAGGTTTTAACCGGCAGGCGGGGGCGGGCAGGGGCAGCCCGGTGGTCGATAGTCAGCGGTCATGGGAAGGGACCCTTCGGAACAGCCTGCGGGGCGGTTTTCGGAGTCTCCTGTCTTCTGGGAGGGGGAGGAAGACTCGGGCCTTCCCCGACACACAAGACAGCACCTGCGGTTAGCCAGGCCCAACGCCTCCCTGCTACGGTGGCACCCGGGCGAGAGCGCTACACAGCAAGGGGTGAGGGGTGGCGGGAAAATGACGGCACAGGGCCCCAGGGCCTCCCACCGGCCCTGCCAGGGGTGCCCCACACCACAGACCCCAAGCGAGCGCTCAGGACCCACTGCGGTCCCCAGCGAGGGCAGGTGCTGTGGACACTGGGTGGGCCAGACGGCCCCTGCCTGGGGGTAGCCACCGGGTCAGGAAGCCGACACCCCTGCTGGGAGGCCCTGGTCCGCGCAGAAGTGCCGCTGGTCACCGCCGGGGCACCGTCCAGGGGCACAGACCGCAGCACTCACTTGCCTGAGCCGAGGCGCTGCGTCTGGAAGCTCAGGGCAGAAGCTGCCCCAGAGGCTCGGCCACCAGGGGCCTGCATGCCGCACGCGAGGCGCGGCTGAGCGAGAGCAGAGGCAGCGCTGGGGCCCGGCCCGGCCTCGGCCTCGGGGAAGGACCGACCGCCCGGCCCAGGGGGCCTCAGGCCCGCCTCCCTCCCCTGGGGGCTCGGTCTTCGCCCGGCCCCGCCCACTCCTCCGCCCTGGCCCCGCCCACTCCTCTGCCCGGGCCCGCCCCTTTCCCACCCCTGGCCCCGCCCCCTCCTCCGCCCGGGCCCCGCCCGGGCCCCGCCCCCTCCTCCGCCCCGGGCCCCGCCCCCGTCCCTGGCCCCACCCCTCCTGCGGCCGGGCCCCGCCTCCACCTGCAGACAAAAGTCCTCTCCCCTCTTGCGGGTGGGGGGACTGACTGGAGGGGGACTTGCAGGAGGCTGGCGGGAGCCCCGTCACACCCAGGCTGGGCCCTGCTACCCAGGAGCCCCCCTCTTTGTGGAAAAGCCTCCGTCAGCCCGTCCGCAGCGCGGGGGGCGGCTGTGGGAACGCCCCCCCCCGCCCCGCCCGGCGGGCCGCCTGGGCTGCGGCTCTTTGCCGAGCGCTGCCCGCCGAGGCCCAAGGGAGCCCGGCGCCGGGGACTTTCCCCGACCCCGGGAGCCAGCGGCCGGGGGCGCCCGGGACGGGGGGGGGGGCCGCCGCCGGACGGGGGTCACCGAGGAGCTGGGCGCGATCCCGGGCCATCCCCGCGGCGCCTGCGGGCCTCCCCCTCCCCGCGGCCGCTGACCGCGTCCTCGCGGAGAGCAGGCAGCGCGCGAAGGGCGCCCGCGGGGCCGCGGGGCGGGGCTCGCGCGGGGCGGGCCGGGCCGGCACCCACCTCCTCCGGCTCCTCCTCGCGCTGGCGGCTGGGCTTGGTGTAGTCCAGCGGCCGGTCCCACTCCTCCTGGCGCGAGGCCTGGCTGCAGGGGGGCGAGGCCCTGGAGCCGCCGGGGGCGCCGCCCTGGCGCTGGGAGGCGTCCGCGGCCCTCAGGCCGGGGCTGCTGCTGCTGCTGCCGCCGCCCCCGGGCGCCGCGCCGTCCCGCTTGCGGTGCTTGTGCATGCTCAGGTCCAGCGTCCCGTTCTCGTCCACCTCGATGTCCGCGGGCTGCAGGCGCAAAGGAGGAGCCCGCGTGAGGGCCCCGGCCTGACTTGGGGCGGCTGCGCCCCGTCCCCGGGGCCCAGAGACACGGGGCCGCGCGGGCTCAGCACACGGGCCTCTCGGGAGGGGCGTCCGGCCGCTGCTCCGCGGCCAAGGCCAGGGGCGGGCGGGAGCAGCCGCCGCCAGCGCCGGGACGCCCGCGCCCGCGCCCGCCCGCCAAGGGCTGGGCTGGACCTTGCCGGGCAGGTCCTGCGGCTTCGTGCTGAGGTTCTCGGGCATCTCCCAGCAGCGCGTGGACAGGTTGAGGATGGCGGTGGCGGCCATGCGTGCGGCCTCGGCGTCGTGCGCGTAGTCGAAGCCTGCGGGAGAGGGGAGCGGGGCTGGGCGGCGCGGCCTGGGGAAGGCGCTGGCGCCAAGGAGGGAGCAGCGCAGCCGCGGCCGCTGAACCGGAGCCCCATGTGGACGCGCTGGGGGCCGGGCGCGTGCCCGTCGGGCTGGGGCGGCGGCTGAGCACCTGCCCGGCTCGCGCCTGCTCCATGCGCCCAGCCCTCTCGTGCAACCCCAGCCCTGGCCTGACCAGAACTTGGGCACAAACAAAGCCCTCCAAGGACCTGCGGCAGCCCTAGTGGTTGCGACAGAACACCGTGTCCACCAGCGACGTGGCCAAGACTGACCCGGGAACGGCTGCTCCAGGGGAACTTGTCACGAGGTCTCAAAGGCTGACCTCGGTGTCCCTGCACAGTTTGCCTCAGAAGCCACATTTCTCACATGAAGACGACAAATGAAGGCACGAAACACTGTCTTTTCAGGGTTTTTGCTGCAGCCGCCAAATCACGCTCAGCTTGGACACTTCCAAGTGGTCATACTCAAACCCCGAAGCCACCCGCCTCTGCGGCCACTAGAGCCGCTCAGCGCAGCCTCGGCCCCAGCAAGGCCCATCGTGCCCGTCATCCTGCTCAGCCCCTCCACGCGAGTCCCCAGGGCAACAGGCCAGGAACCCAAACATGGGTGCCACAGTGACAAAAGACCAAAAAGATTGTTCTGGAAGCAAAACTTTCTGGAAATGACTTCTGTTAGCACAAGCGCCCAGAAAATGTTTGGCTGACAATGGATAACCTTGTACCCAGCAGGGTGGCCCTTGGGCCCAGCACCTACGCTGTTGGACCCTTGCAGACACCCCCGGGCACTGCAGGGGGCATGGCCAGGCCGGGTCGGCCAGGTGGGAGTGTAGGATCCTCAGTCTTCGGTCAGGCCCGCCATAAAGGCTCAGCCTCGTGGTCAGCGAGGACCTCGGGCACGGCTGACAGGAAGCGGAGATAGGGGAGGAGGCGCCCGCATGCACTGGACAGCCAGGCCGCGGGCAGTCCCCTCCTCCCAGCAGCTCCCTCCTCCGCTGTCCCTCAAGCCCCACCCCTCCTGGAGCGGTTCTCCCCAACATACATTTAAAGGCTTTCGGTGAGGTTTCGCTGGTCTGAATCTTTGGGGCAAGCATGCGTTTGCCAAAAACCTGAGCGTCGAAACTTGCGTAGTCAAAGGCGACCTTGGAGAACTTCTCTAGCTCCTTGGCCAGGTTGGCCCTGGGCGTGGAGGGGGCCACGCTGGGCCGGTAGCTCCCATAAGGAGGCACCTCAAGCTGCTTCACAAAGCACATGGGCCTGGAGGCGGGGCAAAGACACCATGTGCATGCACGTGAGCACACTGGGGTGCTTGGGGCGCACAGGACCTGTACCCCGGCTGCCCGGCTGTGGCCCTCTGGGGCAGCCCTCAGAGCCGCGCCCCTCCCCACCTGAGGATGCGGTCGGAGTTGGAGCTGTTCTTGGAAGGCTCCCCGGATGGCGGCTGTTGCTTCTCGTGAGATTTGGCTAGTTTTTCGGCAGCAGCAATAGGACACCCAGACAAACTGGAGACAGGGCAGGACAGCTGAGCCCCAGGAAGGTTCTTCCCAGGAGGTGGGGTCTCCTCCCCAGAAATGGCCCCGGTTAGCAACATGCCAGGATGAGACATGCCCACAGGCCTCACTCCAAGCAGGGCTCCCCTCCTGTGGGTCTAGAACAGGCCCACCCCTCCCTCCCTCTGGCCCGGCCACCTCCAGGCTGGATTCTGGGCCTGTGTGGATTGTGTGCCATTAGCTGCCCCAGAGAGGCCCAGGGCCCTCAGGCTATGCCTGGGAGTTGCCCTGGGGGACATGAACGCCCAAGCCCCCCAAGGAACACCCCATCTGGACCACATGAGAGCCATATCCGCTGTGAGACCTGAGTGGCCAGGACCCACCTGGAGCAGTGACCTGACCACATCTCTCACAGGGTTTGGAAGTGACTTCAAGGACTCTGACAGCTCGCAGGGCTGAGTGTGTCCCCTGGAGCAGAGGCACATCCACCCGCCCGCCCTCGGGGAGGGTAGAGGTGTGGTGACCTCTTCCTGTGAAGGGCCACTGACAGCGAAGCCTGGTGTGGCCCAGGTGCCTCGCTTCTCCAGGGTCTCAGTGCCCTAGGGTGGCTTGTAGCTGGGCCCGGGCTGCTGAGACCCGCCCCAGAGCAAGCGTGCAGAGCCGCAGACACCAGCGGGTGTCCACCCCACGCAGCTGCCCACAGGCTCAGGCCTCCCGTGACCCCTCATGGCAGCAACACCGCAGGCAACCCCCGGGGGTCGCCGCCCGGCCCACAGTGGCGGGGAGCCGCGGCCCACGTCCCTCCTGCGGGCCCCAGCCGGCGCAGCCTGCTACCTTCTGTGTGTGTTGCGGTTGCTGTTCACGTGGCCCTGGCCGGTGCAGCCGGGGGTGGGGCACTTGAGCACGTTCTCGTGCATGGCCAAGACTGCAAGAGAGCACGCGGGCCGTGGGCAGTGAGGGCGCCTGAGGGGACGTCCCACGCGGCGCCCTGACGCTGGGTCCCCGCTCCTGGCCACGAGCGCGGCGGCATCTCCTGAGGAGCCCAGAGCCGCAGGGCCCGGCCCTCCCTGCCCGACCCCGGGCAGCGCCGGTGCTTCCCAGCCCCGGGGCTCAGCCTGGCGCGCCCGCCGCTCCTCCACGTGGACACCACCCAGCCCCAGGGCTGGCGGCGCGGAGCTACTCACTCTCCGGGGGGATCCTGTCCTTGTGGGGGCAGCCGGACAGGCTGCGGTGGTGCGGGTACAGGCCCGTCACGTGGCCGGTGCCGTCGCAGCCCGGTGTCGGGCACTTGATCTCGCGCTTCTCGGCTCTAGAGGGATCTGAACACACGAGGCCACCGTGGGCCGGCAGCCGGCGGGGCGCCGGGCAGGGCGGGCAGCTCGTGTCTGCTCCCAGCGTCAGCCACACCAGGGGCCAGAGGGGCGTGGGCGGACCCCGCGGGGCGGGGCGGGGCGGGGCTGCGGGGGCAGGGGCGGGGCTATGTGGGCCGGGGCGGGGCTATGTGGGCTGGGGCGGGGCTATGTGGGCTGGGGCGGGGCTATGTGGGCTGGGGCGGGGCTATGTGGGCCGGGGCGGGGCTATGTGGGCTGGGGCGGGGCTATGTGGGCTGGGGCGGGGCTATGTGGGCCGGGAAGGGGCTATGTGGCCGAGGCGGGGCTGCAGGTGGGCGGGGCGGGGCGGCGGGGGCGGGGGCGGGGCTGCGGGTGGGCCGGGCCGGGGCTGTGGCTGGGGTGGGGCTGCGGGCGGGCCGGGCCGGGGCTGGGGCCGGGCTGGGGCCTACCTTTGCCGCAGTAGCTCTTGCGCGCGGCGTCGGGGGCCGCGCCCCCTTCCCGGGCTCACCGGGGCCCAGCGGGCCCGGCTCGGCGGGCAGGCAGCCCGGCTCCCCGACGGCGCGCACCTGCTCGGCCTTCAGGGCGATGGCCTGCTCCAGCAGGCCCAGGTTGCCCCGGGTCATCATGTCGTACATCTCGGACTCGTCGGTGAGCGCGGACTTCTGGGAGCGCGCGTCCTCGTCCTTGCTGTCGTCGGAGTGCACCTCCAGGATGCCGGGGTGTCCGGGCCTGGGGCTGGGCGAGGCCGGGCGCCCGGGCTCTGGGGCCTTCAGGGTGGGGCCAGGGGGTGCATCCTCCTGGCAGATCACGTCAGAGGTCGCTTCCTCCTCCTCCTGCTCCTCCTCCTCCTCCTGCTCCTCCTCCTCCTCCTGCTCTTCCTCCTGCTCCTCCTCCTCCTCTTCCTCCTCCTGCTCCTCCTCCTGCTCTTCCTCCTCCTCCTCCTCCTCCTGCTCCTCCTGCTCCTCCTCCTCCTCCTCCTGGGAGATCTTCTGCTTGCTGGACTCCTCGCTGGCTGAGCTCTCCAGGGACGGGGGACACAGCTCCTGGGCACGCTCCCTGGTGACTTCCAGCATGTCCTCCCCTTCCTCTGGCTGCAGAAACGCGCCCGTCCCCCCCTCGTCGCTGCTGGCTGCTGCCTCGGCCTCCTCCTGAGCCATGCGCCCAAGGTGGGGCCCCGGCATGGCCCCCAGGCCAGAGTCCTCCCCAGCCAGGGTCTCCTCCGCGATCTGGCCCAGGTTGAGGAGAGAATTCGCGATGACTTCCTGGTAGCTGCTGTAGCTGCCCTTGGAGGCACCTGGCAGGGGGCTGGGGGGCCCCACGTGAGCCTTGACAGGGCTCCTTCCTGAACAAGATCAGAAACACCACGTGAGAAGCCCCGGGACGGGCTCCAGCCTGCGGCCCCTCTGCCCGTCCCACGCACTGGTGGTGCTCAGCCGCCCTGGGGGACACGCACCAGGGCTAAGGGCAGCCGTGCCCCTGGAGTGCCCCCTGCCGACACTCCCTGGCAGCCCCCTGTGCCTGCCCTGCCAGGGTGAAAGGGAGCTGCAGACACAGCAGGTCTTGAAATTGCTCCCCAACTGAAAAGCAGTGAGGGAATCTGTATGCTGAAAGGAGTTGAATTCCAGCACTTTAGCCACTGACTGAGGTGGGAGGTGGGCACCAGAGCCCCACCCAGCGAGCCATCCACTCCTGTGGCGGCCCAGGGGCCAGAAGGCACAGGCTCCTCTGGCTGGCCCAAGAGGAAACAAGACACACCTCCCCCTGAGGGTCCAAGACACAGGGGGGCTCAAGGCTGGGGGCCTGGGCCCCAGGGATGCCCACCCCTCGGGGCTGGTACCCTGACCATCGGGCCTGGTGGGCCCCCCGGGGAGGCAGATGTGCACAGGCCCCACAGTGCTCGAAGTCCACCAGGCTCCCCAGCTGGTCAGCTACCGGAGCCGAGCAGAGCCCTCCGCCGCACCCCGGAACCCCCAGGCTAGGTGGGCTGGGGCCCCCGAACCCCACAGAGCCGAGGTGTCTCTCCCGGGCCCTAGGAAGCCCTGCCAGGGTGGGCACAGGGCCCGCTCACCCTCGGCAGGCCCTGCTGGCCAAGCAGGTGTCGGGACACAGAGGCGCCTTTATGTGCGGGATGGAGCAACAAAGCACCTGCAGCTGGCGCGGGTCGGCGCCTCTCCCCCGGCCCTGGTGCCGCGGGCCCGTCCTCCTCCGGCGCAACGTCCGATTCATCAGAAACAGAGGCGGCCTTCACCTCGGCCTCCTCGCTGCCGTCACTGTCCGGGCTGTCACCCTCGTCCAGCGCCAGCTTCAGGGGGTGCGACTTCCGCTTGGAGCCCAGGTGCTCGGCCTCCGCGCCCTCCAGCTTCCTCTTCTTGGCCAGAGGGCAGCTCTGCAAGCTGGGCAGGAGACCAGCAGGCCCCGTCACACGGCCACCCGCCACCCTGCAGCCCTTCCGCCCCATGCGAGCTCTGGCCCCCCCGCCGCCCCGCTGGAGCCGGTGCAAGGGGGGCCGCGGCCCTTGGAGTCTGCCCACATCGGCAAAGCTCCTGCCCCTCCTGTGTCTTGGGGAGCCCCGTGGGGGGAGGCCGTGGGGGCCCGTGGGTGCATGGTGCTTGCCCGCACTGCTCGGGCCCATCTCCCCACCAGGGGGCCATGAGCCCGCTCTTCTTCACCTCCACACCCTCTGGGCCTCACCCACCCTCTGAGTCTGGCCTGCAGGGCCGCCAGGGTGACAGCAGCGGCAGCTCAGTGGTCCGCCAGCCCCTACAGGGACCCCCGCCCCGCACGGCTGCCCCGCCCAAGCTGGCCCTCGCGGGACCGCACTGCCTGGGGCTGCAGTGGAGGGCACCAGGCTGAGGCAGCCGCCATCCTTACCTTCTGTGCCGGGAGTACTTGCCCCGGATGTGTCCCGAGCCCGTGCATCCTGGGGTGGGGCAGCTGGGGGAACACAAGGAACGGCCACACGTGACGGGGAGCGGGGCCTCAGGGAGCCTGGACCGGCCCTGGAGCAGAAGGCCGGCGCTTCGCTGCCCTCAGCGGCTGCCCACGGTGTGGGAAGCGAGCGCAATAACTCGCCCCAAGCTCTGAACGCCCCATGGCCTCCCGGGAGTTCTGGGAGTGGAGCTTCCAGGCCACACCCCGGGCGGCCTCCCTCCAGCCGGCCAAACTGCCGCTAGACCAGGGTGAGCGCAGGACCCTCCGAGCTGACCCCCGACACGGCTCCAGGCTGGCCAGGAGGGCGGCGCTGGCGCGGAGCCTGGGGGTGGCAGTGGGCAGCCCACAGCCTCTGCAAACACGCTGGCTGGCCCGGCTACAGGCCCTCAGCGGGAGGCGGGTGCCGTGGGCAGCAAAGGGCCCTACATGGGAGAGTGGGGCGTGACCACCACCCGGGAGCCATCTGAGAGGACACACAGGGCGGAGCAACCCCAGGAGCCCCCACCTTGCCTGCTGGTCTGCATCTGGAGGCACTGAGCCTGCCAGGCCATGGAGCCCCAGCTCACGATGCCCAGCCCCCTCCCGGGGTTCCAGGCAGGACAGGAGCCGGGCCCAGCCCTCAGGCAGGCCGTGGGAGGCAGCTCTGGGGGTCAGGAAGGGAGGGCCACGGAGCCCCAGCCGGCACAGGCCTACAGCAGCGCCTGCTCTCCAGCCTGGGTCAGGCTCCCCCAGAGCCTGCAGGGAGGGTGGCTGGGCACCCAGTGGAGTCTGGAACTCAGGAAAGGGGGCGCTGCCCTTGACATCTATCCAGACACCACTGGTGGCTCCTCATGGGACTGGCCATGAGCTGACTACAGGCCACAGCAGAACGGAGAAGCAGAACTGACTAGAGGGCACAGCAACTCCCCTCAGTTCGGAATGCCTCTGGGGGAGCAGGGGGCTCTGATGGGGACACCTTGCAGCCCCCAAGGCGGAGCCACCATGCTGAGCTCAGACTGACTTCCTTGTGTTCACAAAGCTAGAAGGGGAGGAGGGAGACAGGAAGGAGGAGGGAGGAGGGGACACGCCCCAGCCAGGAGTCACTGCTCCCCCACCCCCCACCCCCATCTATTCTAAAATCTGGGCCTCACACTTGCTTTCACTCTCTCAAGAACTAGCTTTGAGACTTTTCACAAAAGCTCCTTGTTCCTGAGGCCTGACCAATTAGTCTGTTAATCACTGAGTTAATCGGGGACTCCAGGGCAGCTGCCGGGAGGCCTGTGGGCGCTGGCCCTGCCCCCCATGTCCTGCTCCCTCTGCACCTCCATTGGCCAGAAGGGCCAGGCATTCTCAGGGGCAGCGGGAGGGAGCAAGGCCGGGTGTGTGGGCTGGAGCCCACAGGGCGTAATGTGGACAGTACCAGGTCCCCAGGCCCCCAGACCCCCCAGGTCCCCAGGCCCCCCAGGCCTTGAGCCTGAGGGGAGGGAGCAGAGTTCAGACCTTCACCCTGAACTCCCAGTGGCAGAGCAGGGAGATGGTCAGGCAGGCTCCGGAGGGCCACGACTCGGGATCCCAGTGGACACAAACCTCAGGTGTCCAGGAGAACAGCACGTCCCCCCAGAAACCAGGGCCATGCCCCTGCTCCCCTCCCACCCTCGAGGCAGTGAGGACCCGCACTACCCGCCCTTGGGCAGGAACACCCCAGGCCCCACTCCTGGGAGCCCCCACCCTCATCCCGGGCCGGAGTGGAGCAGGGCCTGGTGGCTCCCTCTGCAGCCCACGACCCTGCAGCTGGCACCAGGCCCACACCAGGGCCAGAGTCAGCCCTCAGCCAGGGGCACGCATGGCTACTGCAGTGGCTTTCTCCCTGGCTTCGCCCCCAGAGGCTCCGGCCCAGGACAGGAGCAGCTGGCAAGGACAGCCAGCCTTGGACCAACCACCCTCTTCAAGACACGTGTCCTGGGCCCCAAGGGTCTCCTGCTGAGCAGCCACAGTGTCTGCAAGGTCAATGGGCACCAGGGCTCTGCAGAGGGTTGGGGGTGCCCTCCGGCTGCAGGGGAGCTGGCGGGTGGGAGGGACAGCAGGGGGCCAGGGCAGCTCAGCCAGCAGAAGGCCTTCCTTACCTGAGGTCAGCGCCTGCAGCCTCTGGGGGCGCTGGGTGAGAGAGAGAGAACAGGCACCATTTGGGCTCAGATTCCAGATGCCACAGCCTGACCCACTGGGGGTGCAGGCCCAACCCCTCCTCCTGACCCCTCCTCCTCAGGAAGGCCTGAGGCTGCACTGGCGCTGCCCCCACCCCACACCCCACCCTGGCTGCACTCCCAGTGGTCCCGCCCCCAACCAGCTCCCTCCAGCTCCAGGACTGTCTCCAGGGAGGCCCAGAGGTGGCCCAGGAAGGCCAGCAGACTCTGCCTTCCACAAGGGTTTCCTGGCGGCTTCACTGCCCCATCACGGGGCCGTGTGCCCCCATCTCTGCTGCACTGGGTCTGCCTGGGCCAGAGGCCCTTGGGGTGCTGGGTGAGGCCGGCCTGCGCCTGCTCTGGGATTGGTCTCCCCAGGAAAACGACTGAGAACTGCCACTTCCGACCGGGGTTCAGTCAGGGCTGAGCTGGGGCCACCCAGACACCGGGGGACTCACCTCGGGCAGCCTTGGACCGGGTCCGAGCTCGCTTGTCGTCGTTCTCCAGGCTCATCTGCAAGCAGAATAGCCGTGGTGTCAGCAGGGCCCCACACCGAACCCGCTCGGGGGGCCTCCGCACCGAACCCACATTGGCCTCGACCATTTTCTAGCTGCAGCTTGCTTGATGCTGCTGGACCAGACCCCGGCTGGCGAGGAGCAGGCTCTGGGAGGCCTGGATTCTCTCCTCAGGGACAGGTGAGTGGAGCCTGGCCCGCGACAAGGCAGCCTCCAGGAGCATCCAGCAGGCCAGGGAGAGGCCGGGTTCAGGCCCAGATCTTTGCCAAGGGAACCGTCGCCTGAGCCCCAGGGCTGCTCACGCGTGTCGTTTCCAAAGTCCCACTGCTGTGTCAGGAGCGCACAGAGGGGGTCCCCTATGGCCTGTGGTCAGTGTCAGGCTGTCACTGCCGCAGCAAGGGAGTGACCCACAGGTGCAGCAGACCTCTCCTGTCCCCTCGCTGCCCCTTGGCAGTGGACTTCAGTGTATCTGCCTGCTCTGCTCACCCCTCTGTCCCTGGGGAGTCCTCTCACCCCCGCGCTTCTGGCCTGCACCCCAGTTCTTGCATGCATAAATAATAAAATCTTTTTCAAAAATAGATAAATAAGCAAAGGTGGACAAAGGAAGGAGCAGAATTAATTTTAGCACCAAAGGACACTTAGCCCAGCCCAAGGGAAACATTGTTTCAACCGCGAATATATACATTGCTTCACCTGTGCAGCTCCATCAGCTGCCAGGCCCTGGACTCTCAGCCACTCTCCTTCCCAGTCCCCATGACCCCGCCAGACCGCAGGCCGCCGTCCCGGAGCGAGCCTATGTACGGAGCCTCGAGGCTCAGCCCCGCCTGAGCCCGACCATGCCCAGCCGCCCACACCCGTTGTCCCTGGCCAGCTTCCCCGGGACCCCGTCCCCGCTGCCCTGCAGGGTGGGGCTGCAGGTCGTCCCACAGAGTCCCAGCCTGTGTGCCAGAGAGGGCGAGGCGTCCGGCCCCACTGCCCCAGAAGAACCTTGGCAACGAGGACTCCTGCCGGTGCCTGGTTCAGACCACAGAGCAGGGCGGCGCTGGCAAACGCACCCCTGACGAGGCCGGCGGCTGTGGTGCCCGCCCTGCTGGCCGCAGCGTCCGCACACAGGGAGGCGCTGTCCCCGGCGCAGGGCACTGGCCTTCAAGGGGATGCTGTCTCGCGGCGGCAAACACTCCTCTGACATGAGAAGGAATGTGCGGGGGGCACCTCAGGCCGGTGACGCACTCTGGGGCTCCGAGCCGGCCCAGGGCTCTGGGCACAGCAGGGCTGACCCCCAGGCTCGGGCACTCAGGGGATGCAGGACACAGAGCTTCAGAGGCCACGACACCCCCCACCCCGCTCACATGGCGCTCCACCCCCACCCACACAGCCCCCGCCTGGCTGAGACCCCTGCCCCGTCCATGCACAATCCCCCCATGGAGCCCCCTCCCCCACCACCAGATACCCCACCTCACCCGAGATCCACCCCGGACACCCAGGACGGCCCAGACTGTCCAGCCCACTACTTTGCAAAGATGGCGAAACACCTCACCTCCTAATTTTTCATTTATCCATTTTTTTAAAACCCTTTGCTTGTTCCAAGCAGGCCCCTATTTTTGTGGGGCCAGCAGCTTGCCTTGAGGGTGAAAGACCCCCTCGTCAGCCAAGCCTCCCTCTGTCCACACACCCTGTGGCCAGTGGCAGCTCCAGGGCCAATGGGCTCTGAGCCCCGAGCCTGCGGCTGCCCCTCTGATCAGCACCGCGGTCTTCTGCCTCCAGCAGGGACAGGGCCAGGAGGGACGGGGCCAGCAGACACCACCGACAGGTACACAGCTGCCCTCCGCCCTCCCACCCCTTCTCTGCCCATTGGAGGGCTCTGCCACGCTGCCGTTTTCCAGTAGAATCGGGAGGAAAGAGTGTGGCGCATCAGGCCAGGCAGCTCTCCCCAGGCCAGCACCCAGGCCAGCACCCAGGCCGAGTCCAGCCGAGCAGGGCCCAGGCAGCCTGGAGAGCTGCGCGCTCACCTGAACCCCAGAGCCCGGCTCTCCCAGTGCCCACAATGCTGGGGGTCCTCCTCAGGGGCCCGAGAGGCCCAACAGCGGTGCCGCCTCATCCTCACCCAGGGCCACGCCCGCCCCTGCCCAGTCCAGGCCACGCTGCCTCCTGTCCTCATTCATCCATACCCTCCCGTCTCTCTGCGGCCCTCTCTCTCTCTGTCCGTCCATCTGTCCCCTCAATGTGCCCTTGTCTGCCTCTCGCTTTCACTTTGCCTCTTGTCCTTGAGGTTCCCCCGGCCTTCCGGGCTGACCCAGCCCCAGCCCTCCTCTCCACACCATGGGACAGGCAGAACACAGGGTCTGGCTGTGGCAGCCTTGGAGGACCCGCCCACCCGGGGTGTCCTGCTCGGTGGCTCCAACCTCGCCAGGCAGGGGGCATCAGGGAGGCGGCCACGGGACAGCGCAAGGGGCCTGGAGGGAGAGGCATGAGCCAGGAGCCTTCTAGGCGCCTGCCCCCCCACCGCACCTCCACCCAGCCACTGTTCCCTTCTGGTGCTCATCTCCATATGAAACAAGTTCATTCATTCGTGTTTGCAAAAGCTGGGGCCATGGCCTCAGTCCCCCGTCCAGTGTGAGTCCCGTCAGAACGGACAGACGGATGGACCTGGGCACCTGTCTGTACCCTCTGATGGGGGGAGGGCTGAGCGGGGGCAAGGGCAGGCGGGGGGGGGCGGTTGGTCCAATAGCAGCAGGAGAACGAGGGCAGCCTCCGACCGTCTTCAACCCACAAGGTCCCGGGGGTCACAGGGACCTTGGGGAGGGCGGGAGGCACTTTTCTCCGGGGAGGGGTCCTGCCAGTTCAGGGGAGACCACTGTGGCCCCCACAGGGCCCCAGCGTGTTGCTGTCTGGCCTGTGCACAGCCCAGGCCTGGCAACAGTGGCAGACTGGCCCCACCAGGGAGAGGCATCCAGGCGGCCTGGCAGCAGCTGCCCCTTCCTCTGCCCACAGACCTGCCTGCTGGCTCATGGGTTGGCTGGAGAGCAGCCCTCGGCCTCAGAGATGTCCTGCTCCCTGGACCCCTGGGCCATGCCCCCAGCCTGCACCCCAGGTGGCATCACAGCACCCCTGTCCTTGTGGTGACAGCTCTGGCCCCTCTTTGGGAGCACCTGTCTGCACCTGGGGGTCTCTTGATACCCCCTATTGCTTGAGCCACTGTAGCTGAACAGTTCAGCCTACCCCCTTGGGTTTGGGAAAGGACCCCCAGCACATTATTCACCACACATCTCGGGAAGGGGCTCTCCTGGTGTTTCTGAGCGTGGGATCATGGTTTCCGCCAGCCCCCAAACCAGAAATCGCAACCATGTCACAGACACCCTCTGGAGCAGCCGTGTCTGTGTCCTTCTGGCTGAGACGCCACCAGCCCCAGGCAGAAGCTGGGCCGTGCCCAGCGAGGCGGGAGCTCCCCTTCCTGGGCAGGAGCGTCCACCCAGATGGCCAGAGGCCCGGCTGAACACCCCGTCAGCCTCACCACTCACTAGGTGCTCTGTGATTGGGGCCAAAGGCATCATTCCACAAGGCCGGAAGTGGCTCTGTCCAGCACGGGCCCCAGCACCCGCCCACCCATGCGGCTGGAGGGCGCTGTCCACGTGCCTGGTGCTGAACTCAGCAGCCCGGCCTCCTGCCTCCGCCTGCTGAGCACAGCCCTGCCTGACGCTCCGCTCTCTCCTGTGGCCGCCGTATGGCCGCTCCTCGACCAGAGGCCCCACCACAGCCCCACGCCCTACACTCCAGCCACCCCCCCCCCAGACACAGGCTCCTCCAGCTCTGGCTCCCCGTCCTCTGAGCTGCCCGTCCTCCTACCACACTCCAGGGCAAGAGTCTGGCAAGCGTGCCAGCTGGGTGCGGCCCTCGCCTGCCCACAGGGCAGCCCTCGCCTGTGAACAGCAAGATGTAGGCCACCTCACGGCTCCAGCAAGTCCAGGCGCCCAGTACCCTGGCCAGAGGCACTTCTTCCATCACACGAGCTCTCTGCGCTCTGGGACGGGAGTGGGTGAAGCCAGCCATGCCCAGCTCAGGTGCAAATTTACAGGAACAAAAACTCTCTGATCAAGATGAATAACAGTTTAATGTAATTTTTTAAAACATCAAAATTAATGTAAAAATCCATGATGAACAAAATGCCAAAAATTTAAACTGAGACAGGGCAGGACAGCGGGTTCCTCTTGCCCTGGTTCCAACGTGGCGCAGCAGGCCAGCACTGAGGCCATGAGGAGGAGGTGTGGGGCGTGGCCACCAGGGTCCTGCTGGCCTGGGGCGCTGGCGCGAGCCCCAGTCACACAGCCACCCGACCCCAGCCCCTCCTGTCTACCCTGGCCTGGTCCTGCACATGACCCTCTCTGTGTCAAGAAGACAAGGGGTTAGAATCCGACGTCTGTGAGAGGCGCCTACCACGGCCCTCTCGGGGTGGCCTGGCCCTGGGGCTCAGGGGTATGGGCGCCCGGGCCCAGTGCAGCGAGGGGCGGCCCTCTGCGCCTCACCTTGCCGTGTTCACCCAGGAGGGGTCCTGAAGTCCCACAGGTGCTGCCCTTGTCTCCGCGTGTCCACCTCTGCCTCAGCAGCTCGCCCCGGAACTCATTCTCTGAGGGTCGGAAAGGAAAGCCTGGTAAGTCGCTGGCCCTGCAGGCGGGCGCTGAGCCTGTGTCCACACTGCACACACATGCCTGGGCACACTGAGAGGAGACACCTCTGCCAGGCCACCTCTGTCCCAGGACCAGACGCAGGGGCTGGGGGCATCCTGCTGGGACCCTGAGGAGCTGCCCCTGCACCCCACCCAGGGTCCTGTCCCTGCCTCAGACAGGGCGCGGCTCCCAGCCTCACGCCATGCGCCCCAGCTGAGCCAGGCAAGGCCCACAGGCCCAGCAGCCTCTGCCACGCACTCCCACCCCTCCGGGGCCTCCAGTTAATATTTAATTCCTCACGTAAATTCACCGTCTAAGCAGAGCTGAAGGCATCAGCTGGACATGACAAAGAGACGCATTGTGTACCTATCCCTGCACAGCACTCCCTGTTTCCATGACAACCAGCTTCCTACAACTGCAGCATTTCAAAGGACAGCATCAAGGAGCCAACAGCAAGCACAGGAAACACATCCCTGTGTCGTCCTGCTCTCCCTTCTTCTTAAAGTGAGTCTGGGGTCCGCTGAACCGGGTCAGGCCCACTGTGGTCAGACCCGCTTTCTGCCCCTCGTGGTTTTCATGTTCACCCCCAAATGCTGTTTTCCAGAACCCCACTCCAGCCCAGCAGCCCGTGTCTGGCCTGTTCAGTGCATCCCACTCAGCGGCCTCCTGAGAGCCCAGGAGGGCAGCCCAGAGGCAGCGGCGTTGCCCAGAGACGGCCTGACAAGCCCTCCGCCCAGCCCCTACTGTGCACCACCCCCACTGTGCCGTGGGCCCCTTGACTGCAGAGGCATGAGCTGTGGGCACATCCAGCCCAGGTCCCCACAGCCCACTCACCCCCAGGCATCCATGCATCCAGCCCTGCCATAGGGGCCCGAAAAGCCAGCATCGGATGCAGGACCCAGGACCCCAGGCGGGTGCCACAGAGCATGGGGCTCGGGAGGGAGCACCAGCCGCACCCAGGGGCGGGGGCCAGAGGCTGAGTCAGCAGAATTGAATGACCAGGCGAGCTCAGTTCACACTGTGAAGACAGGGGCCAAGTGGGCCCAGGCCATAGAGCATCAGCTTCACCCCACAAACCCAGGGAGGGAGGTGCCGGAAGCCATATGGGCTGACGGGCAAGCCCAATGTAAATGGGTACATCTCACAACCTCGAAGTGGACACAAGGTCCCTACCCCTTCACACTTGCGGCCTCTTGCCTGCTCCCAACTCAGCCACCCTCCACCCACAACCTCCACCCACAGCCTCTACCACAGCCTCCACCCAGCCTCCACCCACAGCCTCCACCCACAGCCTCCACCCAGCCTCCACCCAGCCTCCACCCACAGCCTCCACCCAACCTCCACCCACAGCCTCCACCCAACCTCCACCCACAGCCTCCACCCAGCCTCCACCCAGCCTCCACCCACAGCCTCCACCCACAGCCTCCACCCAGTATCCACCCACAGCCTCCACCCAACCTCCACCCACAGCCTCCACCCAACCTCCACCCACAGCCTCCACCCACAGCCTCCACCCAGTATCCACCCACAGCCTCCACCCACAGCCTCCACCCAACCTCCACCCACCTCCACCCACAGCCTCCACCCACAGCCTCCACCCAACCTCCACCCACAGACTCCACCCACAGCCTCCACCCACAGCCTCCACCCAGCCTCCACCCAGTATCCACCCACAGCCTCCACCCAGCCTCCACCCACAGCCTCCACCCAGCCTCCACCCACAGCCTCCACCCAGCCACCACCCACAGCCTTCACCCAGCCTCCACCCACAGCCTCCACCTAGCCTCCACCCACAGCCTCTGCCAACAGTGATCCTTCAAGGGTCACCAGTAACACCCGGTCCCCGTCCCATCGGTGGTCCTCTCCCCTAACTCCTGTCCCCTCTCCTGCCATCTGCTGCCCACGCCTGCCCTCTCAGCCCTTGGCTCCTGGAGCACTTTGGGCCTCTCCAGCTGTTTGTTTCGTTCTGTAAAGTCTGACTAACTGATGCGGAAATTCACGCAGCAATTGAGGGACGCAGGGGGCCAGATGACACAAACGCACCTGGGTGGCCTGGGGCCTGCAGGCAGGGCCAGTGGGCCACACACAGTGTTTTCCACGGCTGTCCCCCATCACTGCCATTGCCCATCTTCCTGTGCACAGACGCATGCAGGAACGCGCACGCATGGGCCACGGGAGGCCGCCAGGGGACGCCCAGCCTGCCCACCAGGGAGCCGCGGAAAGAGTCCCAGAAGCGGGGGATCCAGGCGGAGGGCGCGGGGTCAGCCTTTGGGCTTGCTGGCCAGGTAGAGACCCTCGGAGTTCAAACAACGCTGACTGCCACTGGGTGGAATAGCCGCAGCGAAGAATGAGGAGTTTCTGTGCTTTCAGGGAGACGCCCCCCAAAGCCCTATCAAAATGAGAGGATCCTTGGGGTAAGAGCTGGGGCACCTAACCCTCCTGCACGAGTTGGGGGGCCCGGCTCTAGCCCAAGCCCTGCCCCTCCCCAGCGGCTCCGCAGGGCCCGGCCCAGAGCATCCAGTAGGTGAGGGGGGCGCGGCATGAAGCACAAACATCCTGCCCATGTCCTGCGAGGGTGACCACTCCTGGGCAGGGCGCCCTCCAGGGGTGGGTAGTCACAGGCTGGTGGGAGAGACAGGCACCGGGACCCCTCAGCGCTGGTGCACTGGCAGCGCCAGCGCTGAGGGGTCCATCTGGCTTGGGGTGCAGCCAGGGGCTCAGCCTGTGGCAGGGCACAAGTGGCCGGGGAAGGAGGGCAAACGTCACTTCTTTTTCTCTCAAGCTGGAATTCAGGGAGGAGGCAAATGAAAACGCTGAGTGGAGGAAAGCTAGACCTGCTTTTGCTGAGCTTAGGTAAAAACGAGAGCAAAAGCGGGCGGCCACCAGCACTTTTCCCCGTTACTCCGCTCCTGAGTCAGCCTGCGGGTGCTCCCGCCCCGCCCGCGCAGCAGCAGCAGCAGCAGCAGCAGCAGCAGCAGCAGCAGCACAGAGGCCCCGCGCGCACACACGTCCTCCCATTCACATGCAAATGGCGACCTTTCACCCCACCTCAAAGACGCTTCCTTAAAAATGCAAATAGCACGAAGCAGCCTCCCCGGGCTGGGTCTTTCTTAGGTTGTTGTTATTATTCCTTTTAACCTTCCCGAGGCGGAGACAGCCGGCCCTGCTGTGGCACAGCGGCCTCCACACCAGTGCAGGACCCAGCTCCGGAGGCGGTCACTGTGCGCCCAGGACCCAGAGCCCCGGGGGTGGGGGGGCCAGGGGGGCCCCCGCATACGCCCTCAGGCTCTGCCTTCCCCAAACCCACCCCAGGGGGTGCAACACTGCACCCCAGTCCCCCTTCTATCAGCCTACGCACCCGGGGACAAGGCCCAGGGCCAACCGGAGAGACTGGGGGCACGGGGACCCCTGGAAACAGCACTTAATGGCACAGAAGCATCAGCTGCCCCCAAGGGCCAGTCCCGCAGCCAGGGGAACAGCTGGGTGCGGGTTGGGAAGACAGCAGGCGGCCAGGCACAGAACTGCCAGACCAGCCTCCATCCTGGGGTACACAGAGCGACACAGGAAACAAAAGCAGAAGCTGCCTCTTCCTCGCCTGAGACCTACACCTCTGCTCTGGGGGCCCACAAGCACCCTGCCACCCCCCAGGGCCTGTGCCCTTGCTCACGCCCATCAGGATGAAGGGGGCGCCACCCAGCAGTGCACCATGGTGGCACTGAATCCTGGGGCTGCCCACCTGCCCACCCCGGCGCTGCCCACAGCCTTGGCCTTGCTGCCACTGGGGTCACCAGCCTGGAGTGCCACAGGCGCGGAGAGCAGCAGTGAGCAGACTCAGGGGGCACCGAGGGGCAGACCAAGATGCTGGCGTAAGTGGCCTGGACGGGAGGTGGGGGCGGGGGAGGGTCAGGAGCAGCGGGGCAGGCACAGAGGCCACACCAGGTTCTGAACTTGGAGCTGAGTGTGTGGTCTTGAGGGGGTGCAGCCTGCTGGGAGGGGGGAGGTGGGGCCACGTGGAGACAGTCTGCCGGGGACGCTGCTCCAGTGACGGGTCCCACAGGAACCAGCTCTGCCTCCTGTTCTCGGCTCTCCTGACCCCCAGGGAATGGGACACCTGGGGCCCCTGGAGGGAGGGAGGCGGGAAGCTCACTAGTCTCCCTGATGCGAAATCACCCCCTTGCCGGTGCTGCAAAGGGCCTGCAGCCAGCCTGCCTTAGTGCAAAATGGCACCCCACGAGCCACCATTTGTGGGGATAGAACAAGGTCACACAACAGCCTGAGTAGCCAGAACCAGGAGACCACCGTCTGGCCTCACTCCCAGACCCCGGCCCCAGGGGCCAGCAGTAGAGGGAAACCGGCAGCAAAACTCCCCGGCGGATGGCTTTGGCAGCTTCTCTTGCCCCCAGTTTCCCTTCCTACCTCAAACCTTCCCAGGCCAGGCCAAGCCTGTGTGCACAGGGAGTCCCCAGGCCGGCACCTGCTTCCAAACCATCGTACGCCCGGGGCCTCCCCTGCCCGGCGGCCCAGGCCTGGTGGCCGCAGAGACACCACAGGCCAAAGGTGAGAGTGTGGTCTAGAGGGCAGGGAGCTGGGGGCCCAGAGGGCCCAGGTGAGGCTGGAAGGAGGCAAAAATCTACCTACAGGAGCTGGACGGACATGGCGGCCGCCAGGGGCCTGGGGCCACCCTGGTCTAGGGAGAATCAGGTTGGGGCAGAGCCAGAGGAGGCCCCTCAAGGCCACGGGCCTGCAGCGGGCAGGGAGGGTGGGGTCCCAAGGGAGGGCTTTCCACACGTCTGGGCAGCTGATGGGCAGCCAGGTGGCCAGTCTGTGGAAGGGCCGGGGCAGCGTGTCCCTCGGGTGCCTGCTGGGGCTTGGAGGCGGCCCCCAGCCTAAGCCCTGCTCTGGCCGCTGT